CAATGCTGAATTCAAACCAGGTTGCTCAGGCTTTGCCCACTCAGCTGGGGAAAACCTCCAAGGACAGAGATTGCCAGCCTCCCTGGGCAACTTGTTCCCACTCCTTGTTGCCCTCATGGTGAAAATTTTTTTCCTTGCATGCAGTTGGAACCTCCTGCTTCAACTTTTGACCACTGTCTCATTTTGACCACTGTCTCATGCTCTAGCCTCCTGACCATTTTGGTGGCCCTCCACTGAACTCACTCCTGTTTATCAATGTCTGTCTTGTACCTGGGGGCCCATAACTGCACCCGGTATTCCAGATGCAGTCTAACAGGTCACCAGTAAAAGGAAATGATTACTTCCCTTGACCTACTGGTTACATTCCTGCAGAAGCAGCTTAGTATGCCCTTAGCATTACTGCTGCCAGGCCACACTGCTGGCTTATGTTTAGCAGGTTGTCCACTAGGACTCCCAGGTCCTTTTCAACAGAGTGGCTCTCCAGCCGGCCAGTCCCCAGCCTGTTGGGAAGAGGCTAGTCCATCCCAGCTGCAGGATTTGGCATTATATGACCGTATCCTCCACCTTTTAGTAATAAGGAGAGATCATAACTGCTCTGTAAGTTCAGCATCTTGATCTTTGAAATGTCATTTCAATCATTATCACAATGGTTATGATTTAGTTAGGTTAGCAGTTTTTGGACCTAGTGGCCAACAGAACTACAGTTCTGCAAGACCAGTTATAACAATGCAAGAGAGAATATTGCATTTACCATCTTTGAAAACTTAAAGATGGTTTAGTTCTTGTAAACAAAGTTGCTCTTCATCTGCAACAAGCCTTTTCTAAAAAAAAAAAAATTAGATTAGAACAGACCATGAAAGCTATTGTACTGATCCATTAACAACTCTGAAACTCAACAATGTCCTAAACCTGTATACACTGACATACTGCTGCGAGGTTCAAATTCGGATCCCATCAAACCAGCCAGTGAATTAACCAAATTCACTGGCTGATCAAGTAAAGACACAAAGAACAGATGTCATGCTTAGAAATTACAGTTGCTATTTAGGTATTATAAGTTCTTGGGTTATTTTTCCAAACCCACACTTCAGAGTGCGCTAAAAAAACCCCCAAACCATAGCACCTTAATAACAAAGAAATGTACCTTTTTCAACATGGGTTTTGATCCCTGCTCTTCTCTCCCTGGCTTTCTGAGCCATTTCTCGGAGCTTTTCCTCATGTTTCTCCTTTTCTTTCTGAGCCATCTTCCTCTCCACCTGGGCACGCATCTCTACAGCCTCACGAGCCTGCACACATAAGACACAGTTAAAATGTTTTATGTTATATTTAATTATGTCGTAGTTAAAAGCTAGCATCTGGGATGCAAGCAGATCTTTTGTCATGGAGTGATCCAGTAAACAGGGCAGGAATCAAGCCACAAACATGAAGTTCAAAGCCAGACAGCCACAGCAGTTAGAGCTGAGAAACAAGACCCGTGACCTCCAATAATTTAACGCACACTGAGCCACTGATTCAAAGATACTGGGGATAAGACCTTATGTCTTATAT